AAGAAGCTGAAAAATTGAAACAAGAGGAAGAACGTAAGAAAAAGGATGAAGAGGAAAGATTAAAGCAAGAGGAAGAGCTTAAAAAGAAAGAAGCTGAAAAATTGAAACAAGAGGAAGAACGTAAGAAAAGGGAAGAAGAGGAAAGATTAAAGCAAGAGGAAGAGCTTAAAAAGAAAGAAGCTGAAAAATTGAAACAAGAGGAAGAACGTAAGAAAAAGGAAGAAGAGGAAAAATTAAAGCAGGAGGAAGAGCTTAAGAAGAAAGAAGAAGCTGAAAAATTGAAACAAGAAGAAGAACGTAAGAAAAAGGAAGAAGAGGAAAGATTAAAGCAAGAGGAAGAGCTTAAAAAGAAAGAAGAAGCTGAAAAATTGAAACAAGAAGAAGAACGTAAGAAAAAGGAAGAAGAGGAAAGATTAAAGCAAGAGGAAGAGCTTAAGAAGAAAGAAGAAGCTGATAAATTGAAACAAGAGAAAGCGCTTAAGAAGAAACAGAAAGCTGAAAAATTAAAGCTAGAGGAAGAACGTAAGAAAAAGGAAGAAGAGAAAAAATTGAAACAAGAGGAGGAGCGTAAGAAAATGGAAGAAGAGGAAAAATTAAAGCAAGAGGAAGAGCTAAAGAAGAAACAGGAAGCTGAAAAATTGAAACAAGAGGAAGAACGTAAGAGAAAGGAAGAAGAGGAAAAATTAAAGCAAGAGGAAGAGCTAAAGAAGAAACAGGAAGCTGAAAAATTGAAGCAAGAGAAAGAGCGTATGAAAAAGGAAGAAGCTGAAAAATTGAAACAGGAGGAAGAGCTTAAGAAGAAACAGGAAGCTGAAAAATTGATGCAAGAACAAGAGCGTAAGAAGAAAGAAGAAGCCGAGAAATTGAAACAAGAAGAAGAACGTAAAAAAAAGGAGGATGCCGAGAAAGCTCAACAAGAGAAAGAAGACAAAAAGAAAGACAGCACCAAACGTAAGAAAAAAGAAGCAGAAAAATTGAAATTGGAAGAGGAGGAACGAAAAAAGAAAGAGGAAGTTGAGAAACTGAAACAAGAAGAGGAACGCAAACAAAAAGAAGAAGCAGAAAAATTGAAGCAAGAAGATGAGCGACGGAAGAAAGAAGAAGAGGCTATAAAATTAAAAGAAGAAGAAGAGCGACAAGAGAAAGAAAGAGCCGAGAAGAAGAGACAAGAAGAAGAAGAAGAATTACGTAGGAAGAAAGAAGAAATTGAAAAATCAAGAAAAGCTGAATCGGACGCTTTGAAGCAAAGGGAAGAGAAGCTACGAAAGAAAAAGGAGGAACGGAAATTACAACAAGAAGAAGATGAACGCAAGGAACGCGAAGAAGCTGAAAAGCGAAAGAAAGATCAAGAACAAAGGAGACGCGAGAGAGAGGAACGTGCTAAGAAGGAAGAGGAAGAGCGACTGAAACGTGAAGAAGAGGATCGTAAGAAAAGAGAAGAAAGAACGAAATTAAAGAGAGAGGAGGAAGAACGCAGAAAAGCTGAGGAAGCAGAAAGATTAAAAAAAGAGGAAGAGAAAGAGAAACAACGGCGAGAAGAAACGAAACGTCGAAGAGAAGAACAGGAACAACAGATAAGGCAGGAAGCGGAGAAAGTTAGAAAAGCTGAAGAAGATCGTCTAAGAAAAGAAGACGAAACTCAAGAACGTAGGAGAAGAGAACGGGAACAGAGAAGACACGAGGAGGAAGCGAAATTACGCGGAGAAGCAGAGGAAAGAATTAGGAGAGAAGAAGAACGAAGAAGAAAAAGAAAGGAGGCTGAAAGGCAGAGGAAAGAAGACGAGGAAGCTATTAGAAGGAAGGAAACCGAACGTTTAGAAAGAAGAAGAGCAGAGGAGCGTCTGAAAAGAGAAGAAACGGAACGTTTGAGACGGGAAGACGAAGAAAGGAGGCGCAGGAGGGACGCTGAAAGAGAATTAAGAAGAGAAGAAGCTACACGCGCGATAAAGGACGAAGAGGAACGTGTAAGGAGGCGACACGAAGAAGAAGCATCCAGACTTCGTCAACGAAGACAAGATCAGATAAGAGACAGCACTTGGTCCAGGATGCGACAGAGCGAATCGGACCAATTGTTCAGGAAAATGGCGGACGATGCACTCAGAATTGGTGGAAGAACCAAGCCTATCTCCTACGACGTAGAATTTTGGCGAGATAAACGAGACAAGTCTTATCGATACGACTCTGGTTTCGATTCGGCACTTTCTAGCACTTCCAGATCGTACAGTTGGAGGGATTCGCTGACTTCTTTGACCAGGAAGAGGATCGACGATTTTCTTGATTACAAGCTGAGGGATACCTCGATCGATAGATATTACTTCGATACAGGGTCGTATTACAGGCGAAGAAGGAAGAGAGATGACCAGATAACTAGAGCTAGGTCCATCAGTTTGTTGAAATACGACGATTATTCGACTGGAGATAGCGATAGCACTATTACACCTGCTAGCGTTAGCAAACCACCAAGATACAGCAACAGGCTGAAGACATCTTCGAGGACAGATTTGGATGATCGTGGATCGAATCTCTCCATATACTTACCTCCCATTAAAGACGAGGTAGGAATACATACATAAGCTTATTCCTCATTCAAAGTTATGGAATAAATACCATAGAAATAGTCATAATAGAACATTTTAAAAATCATATAATTGGACCTTTCACAGCTCACACCGCGCGACAAGGGAAAGAAGCCATCATTTTGCACAAGGTTGACAAATAGAACCGTAGGGGTTGGTATGAGGACCAGGTTAACCTGCACCGTGCTCGGATACCCGGAACCAAGGGTTTACTGGACCAGGGACGGCGAGAAGCTCGACGTAACTGCGAACAGATATAAAACTCGATTCGATAATGGTATGGCTTACTTTGAATTGCACGAAGCACTCCCCGAAGATTCTGGATTGTATACCTGTGTTGCCGAGAATGTTCACGGAATTGCGACTACCGAATCCACGTTAAAAGTTTACCCTGATTTCCAACCGGCATTATCACCTCCCACTTTCACGAAGTCTATCAAGGGTAAGTATCCAAGGTATTCTAACAGCTAAATACTCGTAAAATAAACGTAATGTGAAATTACATGGTCATATGTCGTGTTAACCCTTTTGCCTACAAAATCGTGGTAAGAAATCGGATCAAACATAAGTGTCACAGTTGAGTGGCGTGATTTGTAAATAAGGCCCAGTGTAAACATCATGACTTGTGTTAAAATCCATTGCATGATTTGTCAAAATTTTTACACTCTAAATATCCTTTAAAAATTTGTCAAAGTCCTAATTTATTTTAATACTCGTAAAAATTGTATTTCGATCCATCGAAACTTCACGATATTGGAAAACCTCGAAAAGGTTTGGATATAATTAGAGAAGATATTTATATATATTTCTATTTTATATTGCAAGATTGGTATCATACGTATCACTATCACACAGACACCTATCGGCCATCTGACAATGAGTTGATCCTGGAATGTCGAGTTCGTGGCCACCCAGTACCGATCATCTCCTGGTTGAAAGACGGTTGCATTCTTCAAGGCGATCGTTACAAGCAATGCTACCTAGACGATGGCATCTATCGATTAGAGATCGCTGCACCCAATTCCACAGACAATGGTCGATATACCTGCAGGGCTATGAACGATCTACGAACCGAGGAAATATCCCACATTGTTCAATTCAATGGTAATGTCCACAATTTCAGCTAACGTAGTCCCGCTCCCAAGTTCCTCAAACGCACTAATTGACCTATCTTAATTACTAATAAACGTGTATTTTCAAGAACGAGAACGTCGAATCGTGGGTAAACGCGATAAACTCCTCGACGACTACCTCAGCACCGAAACCTACAAAAGACCGCGGTTCTCCAGTTATTTAAGCGACTACAGTGTTCCCACTGGCGGTACCATTGCTTTGCAAGTCGAAGTCAAAGGTATACAATACTGAACTAATTAACATAACTACATAAAACCATTAATTATAAAAAAAAGTAAAACTGTTAATCTCGTTAAGACTGTTATATGTATTTATATCTATCACACTAAAGACTACCAATGGGCTAATTAACACAGGTGTCCCTGCACCGGAAGTACGATGGTTCCGCGGTGAAAGACGAGAGCCAGTGTCAATCCCAAAAGCTAAAACGTTCACCGAATCTGGCGTTCACACCTTGGTCTTGCCAGAAGTCACTGAATCAGAAAGAGGCACCTATATCTGCAGAGCTATCAATGCTTATGGCCACGTGGACAGTATTGCCACTGTCGATGTGATATCACCAAGCGCGATCGATGGCGGGAAACCCGCCATGTTCGTTTCGAGACCCATGGAAAAGTCGATCACGGTTACCGCTGGGGAGGATGTCAGTGTCTCGTTTAGGGCCACGGGAGTTCCCAAGCCTCGGGGTAAGAGATTATAATTTACAGCAGCGTCCATCCTCAGTGAAAATTTTGTTAATGATTAAATTAAACTGCGTTCGTCTTTCGTTTGTCAGTCACATGGATGAAAGGGTTGAGAGATATCACGGATGGCCCTCGATCTCACAAGGAAACGATCGATGATTATGTCAGACTGACACTCAAGAGGGTGGTTCCTTCGGATGAAGGCACTTACTGTATTCTGGTTAAGAACAGATACGGTTGTGATAGAACCTTCTTCTCGATCAAGGTAAATATTTACTTCTATGTAAGATAAATGTATAATTGTATCATTATTAATTACAATAGTATATTATTATTCGTGATATAGTCGTATAAGGGAAATATTTATTATATTATTATTATTATATATAATAATTAATTAAGCTATATCATAAAACCTTGGATAATTTAATTGTAAATTGTCTTCAAAATTGTTAAATTTACACAGGTAGTTTATGTACGTGTATTTATAACCATTTAGGTGAAACAACGCGCCAGGTCACTGACACCTGACTGGAGCTCTATGAGCAGTCGCACCGAGACCGGAAGTCTTATTGGTCTGTCCAGCGAAAGTCGCGACGATGAATTATCGTATGTGAAAAGTAAGTAAATTTTTAAGTGAAAATTAAAAAAGGGGAAACGTTTATACTATCGTAGCTACGATTAACTCGTATGCCATAAATTGATCAAACCGATGAATTCTACGTACGTATCCTTCTTTAAAATCGTAAATGGCGCGGTCGCGCTCCATCCGGGATACGCTGCAAATGTCAAGCATTACTAATTACGCTAACACGCATAATCAAGCGATTATAATTAGAAGTCCGGCGACAGTGACTGCAGTTCCACTCGTACACTTGGCCCAGGCTTCAATGGACGAAGTCCAAACGAACCCTGGACTATGTCTTCGTTCGAATTGACTTGAACACTTGGGATGATCATCTGTCGGCCACGCGTACCGTCTCTTAGCATTCACAAACCAAAGTCTGCCCAAAAACAAAGAGTATAGAATCAGCTGATCCTATTTTCGCGGGTCTTTTAATGAGATACCTGAATTCTATTTCGGTTTCGAACAGTTTGGCGCGTTTTCTGATAGAATAGGCGCGAAAATAATAAGAGACAATTTGTCACCATATATCGTCACCCTTTATTTCACTGCAGGAGCATCGAGAAAGATTGTAATTCCTAGCTTCATAATTTATAACAATAATTGTTTAATTTCAAACGAAATTAACCGAATTCTAAGCAAGAGGTTTTATAGATATCTTCACAAAGAAAACATCCTCAAAAACGAACGAAATCGTGTAAACAGGCAACGTTGGGTATAGTATACGATGTTGGGACTAAGAATTACGAAATGGATAATAAAAAAAAAGTTCACTCAGGGCATCGCGATTCTTTGCATAAAATTATAAACATTTCCAGTTCACGAACAGCTGAATTCGATGCTGGAACAGGGCCAAGTGTGACAGTTCCTTGACCAAACCTTTCAAATATAACACAGTACAGTGTACTAGGCACGAACGAAACAAACGTGATATATCAAAGCCGCAATTAAACGAAAAGAAATCCGAATGACATGATTAAATGCGTACACACGATACAGGGAAGAGAACTAACGACGTTGGAAGGGATTCACGATTCTCGAATTAGAATCAAAGGTCCCGAGGTTTGCATGCAAATTAATTTCGCGCAGACATTTCGATGGTCCAAAAATTCCACTCTGCATGCAAATTGTCTAAATATTTTTAACATTTTATACGATACTCAATGGCGACTGCTTGAAACGCTTCTTAATGGGCAATGTTAAGCGTGCTTCCCTCGATCGCCAGAAAATGTGCAAAAATAAACATAGCATACTTTGAGAACACCTAATTCCTTCAAAGTAGGCCGTTCAATAAATAAACATTCTAGATCGTATTACGGAACTTGTAATTTTAGAGGCAACATCTTCGAATATCTCTTCCCGTTTCACAAAATTGTTGTATATTCGTTTCCTCTTAAAAAAAGGCATACTAAATATTATAAACAAAGATTGTTCCAATCAAATAATAATAATTTATACTTCGTTTCCTAGAAATCACAAACTGTCCATATTAAATTATTAAACGTATTTATTCTTCCAAAAGAAGAAAATATTACGAATAGAAACAATTCTAATTTCATGATCACGCGAAAATTATTTTTCACCACGAACTTCCTGGATGTAAAGTTTCCAATAATAATAAATAACGATGACAATAAAATTACTGATAACGTAAAAGCAGTTGTAAAATATTTTCTGCCAAGAAAGGAAAAACGGAGAAAGAAAGAATATCATAAAGAAAAATAATTTGACTCGCATAATCACATAAACGTTACATTTGCAATGGTAGACTTAAAATACAGTTGACAATAATATAACATATTGACAAGTTTGCTGACTGCAGACTGTTATTTAATAGAATAAAAGACAGACAGCTGCTACTTTAAATCATCGCCAATGCCATCCCTAAGTTGACTACAATTGCCAAGAAGTCAATGTAACAATAAACGTCTACGATATCGTTGTCGGAACTCGCTGAAATCGGTCGTTGACGAGAAATCACGACGAAAGGGATCGACTGAATCAGTCGATGGCCGATCGATTCACGTATGATCCGCTGAAATAGATGACACAGTTCCAACAAGATGTGTAACGATCCTGTAACGACGAACAAACGCGGGACACCACCTACACCTGCACGTTCTGAAACACCTCTCTCGTGTCGGGTTATTTTCGTTTGCCTTGCTTGTTCGCCTCCCTCCAACGATCCTCGTGTATCCACAAATCCGAAATTCAGTCGGCGTCGGGACGCGAGTCATCTCGTATGCCCTACTTTTTTCGCGAGCCTTGAGGGAAGGAAAGAATAAACACCTTGACATTTTTCTGATTCCTTCCTTGAAACGCGTTTGGCCGGCAGGAACATCGCGGACGATCGTAGAAGGAATAATACGACGTCATGATCTTCGACGTCTTGGACCACGGGTCGATTCCAAACGAATTCGCGAGTAACTTTGATTAATTAAATTCGGTGACTCTGATCGTTGAAAAGTTATAACGAAATGAAATTGGCGAGAGAATGAAGCCACACGATCATGGGATCTTCGTGAACGACGACGGGGACTTGACGATTTCTCGTCTGAGACGTTCATGGTCCGATAAGGATTGCTTGATCACGGACTTTTTGGAGTACTTGTACGGGCACAGAGGTTAGCAAGATTTGTGCAGGAAGGACTGAAAGCGTGAAAGATTGCGTGAAGCTGATTATTTATAGGAAATTTTCACGAAAATTTGTGTACGAATGGAATGAAATGGAAAGAGATCTTCAAAATTGTTAAATTTACACAGGTAGTTTATGTACGTGTATTTATAACCATTTAGGTGAAACAACGCGCCAGGTCACTGACACCTGACTGGAGCTCTATGAGCAGTCGCACCGAGACCGGAAGTCTTATTGGTCTGTCCAGCGAAAGTCGCGACGATGAATTATCGTATGTGAAAAGTAAGTAAATTTTTAAGTGAAAATTAAAAAAGGGGAAACGTTTATACTATCGTAGCTACGATTAACTCGTATGCCATAAATTGATCAAACCGATGAATTCTACGTACGTATCCTTCTTTAAAATCGTAAATGGCGCGGTCGCGCTCCATCCGGGATACGCTGCAAATGTCAAGCATTACTAATTACGCTAACACGCATAATCAAGCGATTATAATTAGAAGTCCGGCGACAGTGACTGCAGTTCCACTCGTACACTTGGCCCAGGCTTCAATGGACGAAGTCCAAACGAACCCTGGACTATGTCTTCGTTCGAATTGACTTGAACACTTGGGATGATCATCTGTCGGCCACGCGTACCGTCTCTTAGCATTCACAAACCAAAGTCTGCCCAAAAACAAAGAGTATAGAATCAGCTGATCCTATTTTCGCGGGTCTTTTAATGAGATACCTGAATTCTATTTCGGTTTCGAACAGTTTGGCGCGTTTTCTGATAGAATAGGCGCGAAAATAATAAGAGACAATTTGTCACCATATATCGTCACCCTTTATTTCACTGCAGGAGCATCGAGAAAGATTGTAATTCCTAGCTTCATAATTTATAACAATAATTGTTTAATTTCAAACGAAATTAACCGAATTCTAAGCAAGAGGTTTTATAGATATCTTCACAAAGAAAACATCCTCAAAAACGAACGAAATCGTGTAAACAGGCAACGTTGGGTATAGTATACGATGTTGGGACTAAGAATTACGAAATGGATAATAAAAAAAAAGTTCACTCAGGGCATCGCGATTCTTTGCATAAAATTATAAACATTTCCAGTTCACGAACAGCTGAATTCGATGCTGGAACAGGGCCAAGTGTGACAGTTCCTTGACCAAACCTTTCAAATATAACACAGTACAGTGTACTAGGCACGAACGAAACAAACGTGATATATCAAAGCCGCAATTAAACGAAAAGAAATCCGAATGACATGATTAAATGCGTACACACGATACAGGGAAGAGAACTAACGACGTTGGAAGGGATTCACGATTCTCGAATTAGAATCAAAGGTCCCGAGGTTTGCATGCAAATTAATTTCGCGCAGACATTTCGATGGTCCAAAAATTCCACTCTGCATGCAAATTGTCTAAATATTTTTAACATTTTATACGATACTCAATGGCGACTGCTTGAAACGCTTCTTAATGGGCAATGTTAAGCGTGCTTCCCTCGATCGCCAGAAAATGTGCAAAAATAAACATAGCATACTTTGAGAACACCTAATTCCTTCAAAGTAGGCCGTTCAATAAATAAACATTCTAGATCGTATTACGGAACTTGTAATTTTAGAGGCAACATCTTCGAATATCTCTTCCCGTTTCACAAAATTGTTGTATATTCGTTTCCTCTTAAAAAAAGGCATACTAAATATTATAAACAAAGATTGTTCCAATCAAATAATAATAATTTATACTTCGTTTCCTAGAAATCACAAACTGTCCATATTAAATTATTAAACGTATTTATTCTTCCAAAAGAAGAAAATATTACGAATAGAAACAATTCTAATTTCATGATCACGCGAAAATTATTTTTCACCACGAACTTCCTGGATGTAAAGTTTCCAATAATAATAAATAACGATGACAATAAAATTACTGATAACGTAAAAGCAGTTGTAAAATATTTTCTGCCAAGAAAGGAAAAACGGAGAAAGAAAGAATATCATAAAGAAAAATAATTTGACTCGCATAATCACATAAACGTTACATTTGCAATGGTAGACTTAAAATACAGTTGACAATAATATAACATATTGACAAGTTTGCTGACTGCAGACTGTTATTTAATAGAATAAAAGACAGACAGCTGCTACTTTAAATCATCGCCAATGCCATCCCTAAGTTGACTACAATTGCCAAGAAGTCAATGTAACAATAAACGTCTACGATATCGTTGTCGGAACTCGCTGAAATCGGTCGTTGACGAGAAATCACGACGAAAGGGATCGACTGAATCAGTCGATGGCCGATCGATTCACGTATGATCCGCTGAAATAGATGACACAGTTCCAACAAGATGTGTAACGATCCTGTAACGACGAACAAACGCGGGACACCACCTACACCTGCACGTTCTGAAACACCTCTCTCGTGTCGGGTTATTTTCGTTTGCCTTGCTTGTTCGCCTCCCTCCAACGATCCTCGTGTATCCACAAATCCGAAATTCAGTCGGCGTCGGGACGCGAGTCATCTCGTATGCCCTACTTTTTTCGCGAGCCTTGAGGGAAGGAAAGAATAAACACCTTGACATTTTTCTGATTCCTTCCTTGAAACGCGTTTGGCCGGCAGGAACATCGCGGACGATCGTAGAAGGAATAATACGACGTCATGATCTTCGACGTCTTGGACCACGGGTCGATTCCAAACGAATTCGCGAGTAACTTTGATTAATTAAATTCGGTGACTCTGATCGTTGAAAAGTTATAACGAAATGAAATTGGCGAGAGAATGAAGCCACACGATCATGGGATCTTCGTGAACGACGACGGGGACTTGACGATTTCTCGTCTGAGACGTTCATGGTCCGATAAGGATTGCTTGATCACGGACTTTTTGGAGTACTTGTACGGGCACAGAGGTTAGCAAGATTTGTGCAGGAAGGACTGAAAGCGTGAAAGATTGCGTGAAGCTGATTATTTATAGGAAATTTTCACGAAAATTTGTGTACGAATGGAATGAAATGGAAAGAGAATGTTCCAGGACCAATTACCAGCGAACCAGTGGTGATTAATGGAGGAAAGAACTGGCTGTCTTTAAGTTGGGGAAAGGCTGAAAGGAGAGGACCTGCGCCTGTCATCGCATATAGGGTGGATGCTTGGATGCTAGGCAGTGACGGTGGTGCAAGATGGGTCGAGGTATTATGGATATCTTTCGTTATTCTCTCGGTGTACGAGTTCTTGAGAAGTCGAGTAGCAAATGACCAAAAATCTAAGGTTATAAGGAAAGGTATTATTTATCGAATAGGTATCGAAGAAGTACCATTTAAACCGGATCCAAAATTAGTAAAATTAATAAAAGGACAATGTTAACTCTCTATCTTCTATCTCATAACTCTCCATTTTATACATTTTATAAATCTCGATTTCACGTAAAATTGAAATACTGTCCAAAACTGGACACGAATTTCTCGACACTTCAAGATCTCATGCATAAATCTGCCATAAATCCTCGCGCACAACCATAAATCTTTCCTCTGTTACAATCCGCCAAGATTCAAGGAATCAAGTAAGAGTTACCTCTATAACAGCCTAAAAAATTTCTTAATTCCTTAGTTTCTTTTCTGCTTCAATCTTGATCGTTAATTCTTCCTTTCCTTTTCTTATCAGCTCGGTATGACACCGATAAACGCGTTCGACGCGTTCAATCTGAAACCCGGTGGCGAGTACAAGTTCCAAGTTACCCCGAGGAATCGCTATGGATGGGGCGAGTCCGTCACTATGACGAACTCTGTCAAGGTCAGCGAGACCGTCGACCTTCCAGAATTCACGAGGATCCTGCCAGGTCAACTGAAAGTTCTCGAGGGTGCGACAGTCAAATTAGAATGCGAGGTAACCGCTCTATTATTAGGTAATCTTCCTTTCCTACTTTTGTTCCGACCTATTTATTATTAAACTCGATACACGGACACGGTGTTCCCGTGTGAGTGAAATTTGGACGTAGCAACGGATCGATGACTGGTCAGAAGGTTAACAGTGATTCACATCTCTGTGTGAAATATTGCAGATTCGGGCTGATTCGAAGGTGGACATAAAATGGTACCACGAGTCCACGGAAATCGATCCCAGCATCGACGCAAGGTGCTCGATCTCTCGCAGTGGGTCCAGGTGTTGCTTCACGATCGAGAAGATTCAGGAAATCGACAGTGGCAGATATGTTTGCGAGGCCAGTAATTCGGTTGGGAAGGTTTCATCGTTCGCCAGGGTACTCGTCGTTAATGACCCGAAGATCATCGAGGCCGATGAGAAACTCAAGTCGAGGTATAGATCATTCTACAACTTTGTACAGTTTCTAACGATAATTTTCAACAATAAAACGGCACTTTATTATGCAGAGCCTTGGGAGACGAAACGGAGGACAGACCACCGCAATTCACAATGAGAATTCGTGACAGAAGGGTTCAAGCCTCGTATCCAGTACGACTCACCTGTCAATTGACAGGATATCCGACTCCAGAAGTCACCTGGTACAAGGATGGTGTGGAGATCCGTCAAGATGGTAACTATAATTGCCCAACATTTATCTAGATCAAAAGTAGAACTAACTAATTAAAAATATTCCCGCAATGTTGAAGAACGCCACGTGTTCTGGAACAACGACTCGAACTTCTACACCTTGGAGATCATTCACTCGATGCTGGAAGACTCCGGATGTTATATGGTAACGGCGAAGAACACTAATGGCTCGGTGTCCTGTCGATGTAATCTAGTAGTAGACAAAGGAATTCGCGCCTATATAGCTCCAGAATTTTTATGCGGCCTTGACTGTGCTTACACTGTGAAATTAGGTGGAGAACTACGAATGACAGCTCAAATAGAGGCGTACCCCAGTGTCGGTATCGTATGGTAAATATAAAGAAATAAATATGCAATAAATACGGTAATAATAACGAAAAAATAATATTGAAAATCGCAATTACTTGCTCAAGGCACCGAGACGGAATTCGTCTACGACCAAGCAGAAGAGCAGTGATGACCTTGGACCACGATGGCACCATCGAGCTGTGTTTGGCCAAGGTCACCGCAAGGGATGCTGGTGTATATTGCTGCACGGCTACGAACGAGGTTGGCTGTGCCGAGACATCGACACGGGTGGCCATTATTGGCACTGAAACGCAGGATGACGAGGTGTCCGTCGAAGGAGTGCCAACTGTGACGATCGCGTCCACGCCAGACATACCGTGAGTCTCATACGATAATCGGTTCAATGACGATTATATTTATGACGAGTAAATGAACTGGAATTAATCGCGCTTGCCTCGATCGAAATTCACAGGTACTCGAAAGAACCCCTCTTCGTCACGAAACCACTATCCACCGAGGCCATAGAGGGCGATACCGTCATCATATCCTGCGAAGTAGTCGGCGATCCTAAACCGGAAGTCATGTGGCTGCGCGATTTCCTCAGGGTAAGGCATCCGATGTATTCTTCGCCGTGCTTTACTTTACTCGAACAATTTACATCTCGCTCGTAAGTGTATGTATCCACGTTTCGAATCCAAGGTAGACGATCTTAAAATAGTTCGTGAATTATGGCCGTACAGCCTAACGAAATTTCGCGACGTTATTCGCGTGACCAGCATGAGTCTGCCGATAAATCGAGGCTCTCAAAAGAATTCTCTCGACATTCCTCCATATTTTACAAATTCGATGATTCATGATTCGGCGTCGAAAGTATGGTCGCGCGAGGTGCAAACGGGGGAATTCGAACGTTCGCGCGAATCGATTATTATCCTGTGAACGTCGGCGAATCGGCGGGTGGTTGATCGAACGAACAGGGGCACGATGGGAAAAAAGAAAGAGCGAAGCGTTGTGCAATCGGTGAAATGACGTGTCCCTAATGCCGCGTTGATCCATGATGTGAGTCAAGGTGATTGCGAAAAAGAAATGACAACATAACATACCGCATTATACCCATAAATGGGCCAAGCATTATATGCGTCGGGGAAACGGCATTGATATTGGACGGCTCTTTAAAAGGTAACAGTAAGTTACGTGAGGTTAGACACCCGGCTCCAGGTGAAAGAGAGAAATTTATTGCTCAATCTCGCGTGGAAGGTCCCGATGACAATGCGAACGTCCTGAGAATCTCGTCCGATCACTGAACAAGTGGAACTACTTGGATCGTTATCCACTCTACCCTATATCGTTATCTGGGAAACCAAGATAGAATCTCGCGTCGTACGACATTGAGAAAATGAAAAATATTAGGCACGGTCGTGGGCATTTCGTGTATAAATAGACTCGCTGCTCTATGGATCGAGAGAGATATTTCGATGATAGGGATGATATCGATGAAAGAATGTCGTAGATAACGTCAGCGATATTCCATTCACGTTTTCATCAACCTTTTTCATCAAGCCTTTCGTGCGAACTCTTCCGAATTTATTCCGGCGATAGCACGCGCGTAACTACAGACAACGAATGCTAATTAATAGTCATTTTAAATACTTTGACGTCATCCTAACAATGGCTCGTGATAATTGTTCGCATTTGACACTGATGAACTTCACCCGTGCGATAATATTCTGCGAAAAAAGGATCATCTGACGTTAATGATGATTTCAAATCGAATATATAATTGTCCTCTGAATAATTGATTCTCGCACCATGTTAAATTTTATATTATTCCTATAGTAGAAGAGTATAGTATACGCAGAAGGAACGGGCGAATAAAATTAAACAGAAATTTTTGTCAACAAGTAGAGATTATATATACGAAGTCGAAAAGGAAACCGGAAGTGATCGGTGAGCGGAAAAACAGGCGTATATGGTACCCGCGTCAGCAGGGAATATCTGCATTATCGAAAAGCGTACAGAGAATAGACTCCCCACTTTTCCTGACAGAGTCGACTTTCTTCGTCGATGGATCAGCAGTGCAAAAGCACTGGTGGCAAAACAGTCGTCGCGTGTCTTTGGCGAACGAATAGCCACTCCGTCCTCCAACGATCCCTTCGTAGATCCTACGATCAACAAGTGACATGGATATTTCTTGTTCCAACTATTCCGAATACTCGTTGAAAATCTCCTGACTAAGAAAGTGACCTGCCTCTCGAACGGTACCGTTTGATTGTTCCATTTTGGATTTGGATATATTCGATGTGGAAATCCGGAACGTAAGCGGAGATTCATTTTTACAATTTTTCCTCTTTTCTCTATTTTTTCTTTCCGTCTTCGAAATTTTGAAATATCGCGGAAATCACTCGTAAGAACGTAATTTTTTATTTCGTACTCGAATACAATATTTCAAAATTTTGAAATTTTCCTTTTAAGAACCTGTCTAGTTTCTCTATTCTTTTCTTTCTTCTCTTTATGATTAAAATTTGGCAAGGGGATAGTTATAATTGTTCTTTCTATTAAATTGCAGTATGAATAACTACGCAGAACGTCAAATTTAGCTTTCGTCGTCAACTACGCGATAAGAACAATCTTGTAACTTAAAAACCACTTCATATGTATTAATTTCACTATCGCGTTTTTTGCTAAATTGAAAGGTTATCACAGCGATGACCTCTCAATTGCTAATAAATAAACAAATTCTCGATTGGTTATCCACTGTTGGTCATCTACCATGTATAAAAATTCGCCATTTACTAAATAATCGATAACCTTTTGTTTAACTAAAAATTAAATTAACTGTCCAATCTATAGAAATTATAAAAGTATATTCACTAATCATAAAATCATAATCACAATGCCGCGAAGACTCTTCTAATCTTCCAATAACATGAACGATTTAACCCGTATCTTATAAAACCATGAAAGCTATTTGTGTCATACTAATCTACGACATACGACTAGTATATTATCAATACTCCAATAACATTAATTAACGTTAATAGTGGTATCCATAATATCGATAGTAGATTACAATACAAGACTCTTATAATGACATTATTTTCTTTTTATTTCTCCACGCAACTGTCGTTCGATTTATTGAAATATCATGGAAGATCTAATCAGGCTGGAAGATCTCGAATGCCGTGATCTCTGCGACATGAGTCACCCATCGATCTCGGAGTAGTAGCTCGTTAGGACATTCATCGAACTACTCGACTCTTAAGCGCGAATGTCAGCGCCTGTTCGCCACAAAGTTGGCCGAGTCCGAGTTTCCTCTCTCGTTCTTTCGCTCCGTCGATCAGAGGGACGCGACGCGTCGCGACTGCGAATATGCGCTGCCAAATACGTCCAAGTTTGTTTTCAGTGCAGCTGCAGCTGCTAAATGGGGAGAAACGAGCGACGTTTTAACGTTCGTTCGTCGAAAAATTATGGACACCGTCGAAATTGATCTTTCCAAGCTGATTCATGCACTCCAGAGTCCTCTGACAACTAGATTTCAGCGAAGAAACGAGTGCCCAACAGTTTCCAATGCGTCGAAATAAATTGGAAAACCTATATATGTATCTCGATGAATTATTTCAACGTTATTATTCTTAACGTAGAAGAAGGTGAAAATAATCCTGTAAATTAAACAGTATTATATACTTCATCTTGCGGTGAATTAAAAATAACCGAGTCGATTTTTGAGGAAATATGGTTGTTCAAGATTATTATGTAGAAATACGAGGTACCGTAGGAAAGGTTCGAGATAATACCTTAAAAGGCATAAAACAGAAATGTTCTCGAAAATGGCGTAGAGTCTGTAACCTGTATATGTTCCAATGAACAGATTTCTTTTATGTCGATAATCTGTTTTACACGCGTAAATATAGATCTATATAAGATGACATTGCGAGCAGTCCTTGCAATAGCCGGCTCTGCTTCGGTTTATGGCGCCTCTCTTCCGTAACTGGAAGTGTCGTCCGCATAAATTTCATCGTAGGCGAACCGAGACAGGTGAAAGACAGATGGGTCTCAGAAGGTCCATTATGTCAAGATTCGAGTTCCAGCATTAGAGATACTGAAAACTTCATTTCGCGATGACAACCGTGCGGCAATAAATCAAAGTTGGTCTCGGTGTTCGAACAGGTGATATATCTTTCCACGAAAACTGCAACCCGCAACACGTATCACGAACGACCACCGCGAGGAGGGGCTGGAATAAATCGTTGAAAAGCAGAAAATGGACCGAGGTAGCACAGAATCGGCGAGCGTGAAACAATTAAACGTAATTTAAAGACCGACTGAAAGTTTACAACCGTTAAGGCAAAAAAGCGAAACAATCGAGCCTTTCTTTTTCGGCGACCTTAATTTTCGAGGGTTTAAGGAGGGCGTGTCCGTGGTGGAGACGTGCAATTAGTAATGAAAAACGGTAATATGCGTTGGCACTCGTGTCATACGAGCAACGAGATCAGTCTCGAACGCTCTGTTCAACTTTCGCTCCCTATATGGACTAGAGCCCCGACGAAGACGTTTCCCATCTCGCTCTTATCACTGCCCCTTCCTTCTCTTTCTACCTGGTTTTGTCTCTATGTATCTAGAACATTTCCAATTCGATTTTGACCTTTCGTCGAAGCGTGCTGGACGCGTAATTTTCGTCGACACGCGGCGAAAGAGGAATCCGATGACACGGAGATATTAAAACTCGACAAACATGGCGAAGATGAAGAAAAACTCGTCAAGTCGAAGTTCCATCGCGTGTGAACGATAAAAGTAATGGCGCCGATCGTTGAATCACAAGGGATGACCTCGATGTGGGCGTAAGAGTCACGGAAATGCCGGTATTCAGGACGAGGCCGTACTTCGAGATCACCTCCCGTTAACAGGGTAAAACCTTTCGGACTCTAAACTTCGCAGAGTTTACTCCGTTTCCTTCGCGTTCATTCTACCAACACGAGTTGGATGTTTATGCTCGCACTCGAGTTACGTGTTATCGCTGTCAGCAATAAAAGTTGCGTTCGGTAGCGCAAGATCCCGGAGTGCGTCGTGATAAGAGCAACGAATACGCACGATTTAGGACTGTTCACTGGTTAGGATATTCAAGTGTATACACTCGAAAGCGTAGGAAAATATCAAAGAAACATCCCGAGTAATTTACTTTTAGCCAATTTGCTGTGAAATTCACATTCGCTGTGTGCAAAATAAATAAAAGGCCATTCGCGTATGTACGTTCTAATTAAATTGTGATTTGGATAGATCGTGTTCTATGTCCAAATTCTATATCTACCACGAATTTCCAATCTGTTGAAAATAAAATAAATAAAAGGCCATTCGCGTATGTACGTTCTAATTAAATCGTGATTTGGATAGATCGTGTTCTATGTCCAAATTCTATATCTACCACGAATTTCCAATCTGTTGATATTACTTGGCAACAGTTCATCGGTAAATAATAATCCTTCAAGCTTACCAGACACGTGTCAGAATATCTATTCGCTGTCAAAACCTTCCGTTACTCGTTTTTAATTTCCTCCTTTTCGTTTACAGCCTGATTACTACAGGGACGCAGCCCACTTCCGGCTGGTCGGCGAAGGACCTCAGTACCGGCTGGAAATACCGTACGCGAAACTCGACTTTACGGGAACGTACTCCGTAATAGCGCGGAACTGTCATGGGGAGGCCAAAGCCGTGATTTCTTTGCAGATCTACGCGAAAGGTAACGTTTACGATCCGAAAGAAACAAGATCACCGTTGACAATTTGCTTAGACGAATGGCTTATTATGTTTCCAGGTCAAGGCAAGGAGGAGAAAATGAAGAAATCCGGGGTCATACACGGGTAAGTGGTATCTAGATTGCCAAGAAGATAAGCTTCGTTATTCGCCACGAATAACGAGGAGTTTTACCAAACAGCGATTTGTTTTCCAGCGAACCAACGTCGTTCGCGTTTAACGAATAAGTTTTGATTGGCAGGAAGGTGCTGACTTTGCCGGTAGTTACGAGGGAACTGCGAGATCTCAGATGCTGCGACGGAGACGCTGTTACCCTTGAATGCAAAGTACATGCTACACCCGAGGCGCCATTAGTGCGTTGGGAACGTGGAGGAAAGGTAGACGTCGATATTTATTTATCTGTATAATTCCGCGTTTGTTTCGAATTGTCTATTTTGTCTCCTTAAAATCGATCGAACAAAACGCATTTACTTGAAAGTGAACAGATCTTTTGCCTACGTTTCGTTTACACCGTCTTCCAGAGAGATATTGCGAATAATAATATAATATCCCTATCATCGTTTGTAATACTTGTTAAGAATATTATTTATGCAATTATTGCTCATTAGTCTATCGAGATATTATTCACGAATAATTTTCGCATTCAGATTATTCAAATGGGTGGCGATTTCTCCGCGGAATTCGACGGAGAAACCGCTCGTCTGTGTATCCAGCACGTTTATCCGGAAGACGAGGGCGAGTACACCTGCGTGGCATATAACGACCTCGGGAAAGCATTCACGTCGGCGTGCCTAATAGTGGATGGTAATTTCGTGTTTAATTCACGGTGCTTTTAATAAGGCAATGTAAAAACGCATGTGGTACAGATACCTGGAACCTTCGATTTAAATATTATTCAATTACCGCTGTATTTGTAATGTAAATCGTATCTCGAGCATGACTAAAATCTGGTTTCATTGAAACTTGCCTGATGAAAAACGTGTTTGTTGCCTACGTCTTGAAAGCATGTAACGGGAACGGTTTACATGAAAACAACTACACGTTCGTAAATTAATCCGATTAAATTTATTACAGTGCCCGAAGGGAAAGAAAATGTTTTGAGCCAAAGATTAACGAGACCAGCAGGACTTTTGTCAGCAGGATCCACGCCGAGATCGACACCACGATCGACACCGATCAGAAGCTTGTCACCAGCAGTATCGCGTAAGCGTGAAAAATTCTAACATTTTATTTGAAACGTTTTCGTTTGAAGAAACACTTTTGTAACGATTTTTTACGTTTTTCGTATTCCTCGTTCGTCATTGATGTATATTTACGAGTGTAGCAATCTTTGACGAAGAAACAATTACAGATGGTCGAGAATTAAGATCCCCTCAGCTTCTTCCGCGAAGTAGGTCGATGTCACGGCGGCCAAAGATAAGTCCACCGAAATTTTACGCGGTACCCCATAATCGAGTGGTCGAAGAAGGTGAAACTGTGCGATTCCAGTGCGCTGTGATTGGCCACCCGACACCGTGGGTAAAATGGGACAAAAACGGTATGATCGTCACGCCAACCGCGAGGATCTCGATAAAGGAAAGAGACGATGTGAAGATATTGGAAATCGTCGAGGTCACTCAGGAAGACGCCGGATTGTACAGAGTGATCGTTGAGAACGATTATGGTCGTATCGAAGCCAGTGCTCGCTTGGAAATAATAAGTACGTGACATATTCATAAATATACCTTTCTAGCACCGTTAAAGCAAACGACTACGAACGATATAAATTATAAGGTGGACATTTGTTGGACCACGTTCGTGATGCAATTAAATAAATAAATAGTATTAACTATTTTTATCGTTATTTGTCAACTGCATTTGTTTCTAATTTTTACAATTACCAATTCTATTCGGAAAGATCGTCAGTTGCTTGGAACAGTTGCTCGATCCATCAGGACCAGGAGTGCGTCGCCTAGGACGTACCCATCCTTCAGCAGAAGTCTCCTGGACACGACTAGCAGGATAAACGGAAGACTATACCTCGATTGCTGCGTCAGAGGATCTCCTAGTCCAACACCAACGTGGTTCAGGTAAAGTAAAACGAGGAGAAAGTATTCTTTCGCGAGATGTCCTTATCGAAACGCGAGTCTTTCACGTTTCAACGAAAAATATTGACAGAAGGAACGATAATTGCAGAAACGGGAGACCGTTGGAACGATCGATTCGAATAAAAAGGTACTTCGATGGTAAAACCGCGAAAGTCGAAATTTCAAAAGTGAAAGCGAGCGACGCGGGTGAGTATACCTGCGTGGCAACGAACGTCCTTGGTTCCACGAAGAATACCTGTCAGGTAAATAGCCTAGTCGTATGCTAATTCGTCTTTACACGAGAAATTGTCTCGTAATCGCTTCTTCTGTCACAGGTGACCGTTCTAGATCCTTACTGTCCGTCCACGTGTGACAAGGAATCACCAAAATTTCTCCAGTCCCTTCCAGCAGAGTCGATCGTCATGGAAGGTCACTGCTACGAACTTCAAACGAGACTTGCGGGTAATAAAAACAATAAACAGATAATAATAACCGTTAATTGAGACGATTCGTGTAAATGTTTGCCAATGTGATTCGATGCCTGTTAAATGTTGATTCTTCAGGTACACCGCCGTTCTCGGTGACATGGTTGAAGGATGGACGTGAGATACCTGACAATGATTACTGTAAATACGTCATATATGGCGATGGTGGCGTCGCTCTTAGACTGTCCAATGTTTGTCCACAAGACGCCGGCGAGTACACTTGCCTCGTTCGCAATAATTTCGGGGAAGCATCTAGCAATGGCCTATTCGTCGTTCAAGGTATACCCCCCTGAGATTCCAAAGAGAAATTCGGATAAATTTGAGAACTTGACTCTTTCGAATCTGTCGATGTCCCTGTCAAAACATGCCTTGACGTAACATTTGTTTGTTGGTATTATAATTATATAATAATTAACAAAATGTTTTTCATTTTCTGTATACAGATTATAAAGGTATACCGAAATTGGCGCCACAGTTCACGAAAACACCGCAGTCAGTCGTGACGTCGAAAGGTGAGACTGCCTGTTTCTGTACTCGAGTGCAATGTGGAAAACCCATGGAGATCACGTGGACGATCAACGGGAAGGACGTCAGAGAAAATTCAAGGTGCAAGGTACGTCGAAAATTATATAGTATTGGTATAATATAATAGTAATAGGGAAGAAAATAATATAGAAAATACGAACTTCGATGTTTTATGACCTACAATGCAAATTTTCTTGGTCCACAGGTTGAGAAAGACGATAACGTTAGCATTCTTAGGATACACGACGTGCAACCGCGAGATGTCGGCGAGATTCGATGCACAGCATCCATGGCTGGAAAAGGGCCATCCATCAGTTGCACGGCGGAGCTGCGACTGAATCGAACGATGGATCACTTCGAAGAATCAAAACATCGCAATACCTCGACCGAAATTCGTAACGAGAAACCACCAAAGGGTCCCAACTGCACTCGTAACAGCTCCTTGCAGAAAAATATAAGGGATGGCCCCTCGTTGTTACCTCGAAGATACGAGTCACCATCGCAAACCAGAGCATCCTCGTTGCCTGTAAGATGCACTCCAAGTCCCAGACAACCGTCTCCTTTAACTGCGAGGAAAAATATTCCACCGAGTCCATTACTCGACACCAAGAAAGCAGTCATAAATAAAACGAACAAGAGGAAAGACCTTAGTTCGAAAAAGTTGGTTCGCAAAGTGACTCAGCGAGTGTACAGGAAACCTAACGAAGAAAGGACATCCTCTTCTGACGAGGAAGCGATTCATGATTCCAATGAAAGATCTTGCTTGATGCCGAAAGGAACCATCTCGAAATTAATGGAGAACAAGGAAGGACGCGCGAAGAGTACTTCGAAGATGGCTGCTGATCTCTGTAAGACTGATAGCGATACGAAGAGGAGCCAGGATAACTGTAATAAGTACGATGACACGCCGATAATATGCATGGAACGTGCACCGGAAGAGACTGAGGAGGAGGAGCCTTCGGTTGCACCGAAGAGCGACGAAGACGTGACGAAAGAGGAGAAAGTTGGGACCAGGTCGGAGGAGTTCGTGGCAGCCGGTATCGTGAAGGTGCCAGCTGACGTCACGGTTTTCCGAGGAAACAGGGTAGTCCTCAGGGTCACGTATCGAGGCCATCCGGAACCACGTGTCAAGTGGCTTCGAGCGGTGAATATCGTTTATACGTTTCGCTATATTCTCCTGTCAAAACGTCAAGTTTCGTTTAATGTAGCTCTGGAACAAAACACAAGAAGTTTTGTTTCTCACACGATTAAACATCCGACTGTTCTGGACAAGGGAACAGTGATGTCTTTATGCGTGATGCTTGTTGATCGAAATCGGTACACATTCGAGAGGTAGAAGTAATATAGCGTCTTAAATTCGTCTGAACAGCAACTAATCGTAACTCGATGAAAGTATAATTGCGCGCGATAGTCTTGCATCGATAGAGTGACTTGGAATTATCTATAAATGCCTACATCTATACGCTAGTGCATATTCATATTTGAAGTATATACGTAACAAATTTAAAAATATACGCGAGGTCATATCGTTAAAAACACGCACAAAAGTATTCGAAATCGGTGTAGAACAGTCATGATAAATTAGCATAATAAATTGAAAAATAAAAGTTTTCAGGATCTCGTTGATCCACCTTTCGGTGTTACCATAGCTTTGAGATAACTTTCAATCGAGTAAACGTGCCGCAAATATTTTATCCATCGTTATATCCATTTTCTGATTTTCCTGTCGCGATCTCGAGATTTCCCCGCGTACACCGTATCGTTAGAAACGTCACGATTTAGCATAAATATTTCGCACGTGCAGCGTAACTAAAGTGTAAGCATTGGAATACTCGCGTGTACGATAGTCGCGAACATAGTAGTCGTGGTTACGTAGGTTATCATTTATAAGCGTGCATGAGTCACTCGTAGTCGTTCGTGCCTATCTGCACTCGGTTACAGTCAATCAAGCGTATTTAATCGAGAATTTTGATTAAAGGGTCGAGAGTTGACTCCGAATAAAAAGACTGCGATCACCTATGGCGGTGGAGTGTCTTGCCTGGTATCGGACGACGTCACCGCTGACAATGCCGGGAAATACGAAGTGTCCGTGGAAAATAAACTGGGAAAGGATCGAAGATGCTTCAGCGTTGCTGTCGAAGGTACGTGTTATCGTGGAATGTTATTAAACGAAAATTATTCGACGAGACATTAGTTGCGACGATTAAATAAACCATTCCGAAGAAATCGTGTTGACATTGCGTAACTATGCCTCGAGTGGGAATGAAACACTCGTTCAAACAATCTGCATACACGGGGATCACGAATACTAGAACACGATTCCTGTGTATTTACAAAGCTTTGAAACGAGCTACGTTACATCACTCGTTTGGGATCCAGATATCGCGTACTTCAATAAGCCTTCGTTATGCGTGACACAAGACTCGTGTCTGTGTTTTCGTGGCCCAACTCTGCGAGACCAAAGACAGTTTACGATATAAGAAACGCTAGTTTTTCGAGTAACTTCAAGGAGTATGGATAAACATACGTTACTAGTGTACGTTCTTATAATTCTTTCATCGCGAGAAGTGATATTCGAAAATATAAATGAGGAAACGTAGAAACAGAAGATAAAGAGGATTTCCTATTGAATCCGAACACATACACCTCGAGCAAATAATTACTCATTCGATGTCGGTATTTCGGTACAGTGAGCCAGTGTTTTTCCCGTACAAGTTAAATTACGGCCGAAGTGATTACCGGTTAATTAATTAATACACGAAAGTACGATCTTCGGTGAAAGTTGTTGAGTGAGAAAGATGCGAAACCTTCCTAAAAGTGAAAAGACTGCAATCTTAAAATCTTTCCATAGAATATAGCCATTCGATCGTTACAACCTGACCATAAAATCGATCCTTGTCTCTCGTTAAAGTTCAAAAGTCCGTAAACGCTAGAAAGGCGAAAAGTCGAAGCTTCTTTCGATCGAGTGAACCAATCGCTTTGACAAATGTCGAAGATAAATATAGAAAAATCGTGTACATGAAAATGGCGGGAAAATCGGAAGCTAATTTCGAGCTAATTAGATCGAGTATTTCGACTAATCCCGGAGCTTGATACGTCTCTGGGTGTCTGCAAACGCAACTTAAAACGAAAGATCCATTGTTACACGTGCGTAAGCGCGTGTCACACGGTCCAGTTCCTCTTCTTATGTACAAGGCAGACGACAGTCTCACGTGACGTATCGCGCAATAATTCCTCCTTCCCTCGTTCCTTCTTCATCCCCACTATCTGTTTCGTCTACGCTTCCTCTTTCCTCGGGATCACGATAGGACGCGGCAGTATTGAAAAAGTGCGTGCGCCGTCTAAGCTTGGCCAAGTCGATATTCTTCTAGAATGACTGGCAGTGCCGAAACTAGAAAGAAATTCTCACTTTACATCGTCGTCTAATATCGTCGAGGTTTCCAGGATTCGTGCCGCTTCATCGACTCGTCAGAAGAAGATCCTTCCTTCGAAAGAATGGGTAATATACTGATACTTATTAGCCACTCGCGATGGATGAAATGATTCGTGAAAAGTTGTATGAAATTGTCGATGAAAATGAAAACGATTAACATCGTGCACGATGACTCTTCGAACAATGACACTACTTGGTAGAAATCTTCCACGGATCTTGCGAAATCGAACAATTCGTCTTCGTGCATCGCGCGTTGAACGCGGATGCAACTTTCTAACTTCGGCATGCTTCCACTTAATTTAACCGATTTCTACTAATTTCTATTAATGTCAGAAAATTGGAGCGTAATTTAAACAGCGCTTGTTTATAGTTTCAAACGGTGCGTTGAATATAACGCACATGAATTATTTTCGTCGGCCAGCGTGTTTAGAAAAACTAGTCGCGTGAAAAATAAAGAGAACACCGAGGCAACACGTGTTTCAAATATACACGCTTGTCGCGAATACCAACGTTTCGTTTCGCCGAGTTTAAAACGTTCCGGAGATACGCGAGAGTGATCGAGAAAAGAGATAATTAGGAGCAAGGATCATGAGATAATTACGAACCTTGAGTTGTAATAAATTCTGTTTCAGGTCCGCCCGACCCACCAGCGGGAATTCCAACCATATGCTGTTCCACGGGAGCAGCGACCATCAATTGGCGATCGTCTCCTTACGATGGCGGTTGCACGGTTACCGGTTACACCGTGGAAATGAACCGTGCAGGTGAAAACACTTGGATGACGATAGCAGAATCCTGTCTCTCGCTGAGTCTCACGGTGCCAGCTCTTGAGACAGACGCTGTGATACCCGGTGAAAGATATCGGTTCCGCGTGAGAGCTGAAAATATTCACGGTGTGAGCGAACCCGGCGACGAGTCGGAATTCGTGAGAATTCCGAAGGAGGGAGAAACGTGTTTGCAGGACGACGAAGGAGGTACGTATAAATGGAAATATAAGGAAAAGGAGAAAAATGTTTCGCGTATCGAGAAAGTGCCGGTAATAATGATGCACGTTTAAAGAATTCGTACCACCGTTCGAAGCTCGGATAGTGGAAATGGAGGACGGACAACTGTTCAATGACCGTTACGAGGTATTGGAAGAATTGGGCAAAGGTCGATACGGAACCGTCAGAAGAGTGATCGAAAAGAGTTCGGATACGAGTTTCGCGGCCAAATTCGTGAGGACTATCAAAACGAAGGATCGAGCGCAAGTTCGAGAAGAAATCAGGATCATGAACATGTTGCGACATCCGAAACTCCTCCTTCTGGCGGCTGCTTTCGAGAGTCCTCGAGAGATCGTGATGGTCACGGAATAGTAAGCGAGAAAATATTTACCCGTGTAGAAATCTTGGGAGTAACCGATCTCTAATGTTCTACGTGTCTTTCTTCAGTATTTCTGGGGGCGAACTGTTCGAGAGGGTCGTCGCTGACGATTTTACCCTGACTGAAAGAGACAGCATACTGTTCATGAGGCAAATCTGCGAAGGTGTCGAATATATGCATCAGAACAAAGTGGTACACTTGGACTTAAAGGTAAGGAAATTCAATTGAAGAAAGATTACTTAAAAATTAAAGTACTCGTATCTCTTACATTAACCTCGCGTTATACTTACAGCCAGAGAATATAATGTGCAGAACACGAACTTCCCACCAGATCAAGCTGATCGACTTTGGCCTGGCTCAGACTCTAAAGCCAGACACACCGATCAGAGTCCTCTTCGGCACTCCGGAATTCATTCCACCAGAAATTATAAGTTACGAGCCGATCGGCACCGAGTCTGACATGTGGAGCGTCGGTGTCATCTGCTACGTCCTGTAAGCAAGCAAAACATTTAAGTGTAATCTGTCCATTAGTTGTAAGAGTCCATTAAATAAGCAACATGATCGTAAATGTTCAGCTTAACCGGTTTGTCGCCGTTCATGGGCGATAATGACGCCGAAACCTTTGCCAACATCACGCGAGCTGACTATGATCTGGAGGATGAGGCCTTCGATGCGATTTCAAACGACGCTAAGGACTTTATTAGCGGTCTGCTTGTGAAACGAAAAGAGTACGTGTTCAACGAATATCTTCTAGCCTCTTTATCTTTGTTTTATATCAAACAGTCGTGATTATCTCGTATCTAAATGAACTTACAGATCCCGGATGTCGGCGAGAGAGTGTTTAGAGCATCCTTGGATGGCGCAACACGCGGAAGCTATGAGTAGGATAGCCTTGCCGACAGAAAAGCTGAAGAAATTCATCGTACGAAGAAAGTGGCAGGTAAGTGTCAACTATTCTTATTACTTCCTTGTATCGTTTGTTGTTGCGTTAGATTGCGTTGTTATGAGCTAGTTTGAAATCGATCTCCTCAAGGTAAGTGATTTAACATTGATACCCAAACAAATCATATATTACTCCTGATACGAACAGTAGCGTATAGAAAATCTTGTTCAAAGATATTATAGATTATAATCGTAAAATGCGCATATTAAAAAATTTCCATTTACCCTTGCCTGTTCTAATCACTCGAGAACTCTTTGCGTATAACTTAGTTCGCTTCTGTAAAGACCAAGAAACACTTGGCACTTTAGTTGCACTAATTTGAGCATGGATTTGACTTGTTGCGTGCGCGTGTGCTTTCGTTTGTTGCGATAGAAAACAGGAAACGCCATTCGTGCACTTGGAAGGATGGCAATCCTTTCGGCGAACAGCAGACGAAGTCCAACTGCGACCGCGGAGTCTTCACCTACGTCGGATCCTCCGAATCCCATCGACTCAGCAGCCCGATCGATCGATTTCGAGGCTTCTCCCGAAGAACAAAAGCTATGTGACATTGAGAATATAATAGAGAAGAACGGCACAAGTCCGACAGAGCTAGACACCCGAGAGGGAAACGCGTATTCCTTCTGTTACAAGACAGAGACGAACCTTTTGCCGGACGAAACGTTAGACTCGCACGTAAAAGAGGAAACAAGCTTACTTTCGGACCTTGACGAGTCGTTGAAAAATGAACCGACGACGGATCACGCTGGATCGTGTTCTCCGAGAAATGAATCCGGAGGAACCTTAGAAACTGACACCACTGAGGAGGCTGAGGTCCAAAGTGAAGTTTACTCGGACACACTACTTCCTATGGAGAGGATCGAAGAGGAAACGGAGATCGTCACTCGATGTCAATTCGAGGAACGTATCTCGATAACGGAAGAGACCTCGATCGTGACGAACGTAAACATCGAAGAGAAAAGTTTAATCGACTTCGAAGATGAAACTTGTGAAAATCTCCTTCGAGATGAGATCACTTCGAAAACGACGATCAACGATGAGACCAATTTCTCCGAATCGAGCAAACGGGGTACGGCATGGAACGATGAAGAAAAGGGAATGAAAGAGGAAGTTGTTGTGGAAATCGAAAAAGAGTTGAAGGATAAAATGGATCAAGAAGCTAAAGTAAATTCACAAAAGTCTCGTCGAGTCTTCAGAGGCGACTCGCGTGATTCTGGAATCGGGGACTGTATCTCGAACTTGTCCACCTCTTCGCAGCAAGTAAACGAACTGGGTATTTCGGCGATCAAAGAAGAGGAGGTGGACAATGAGAATAATAGCGGGAATCTTAAAAGCGTGTTGCAAAAGGTGGAGCAGTTCGAAAATCGCAGGACGTCACTCGAAGAAATGAACGAGACGTCGAACAATGCTGGAAACGTGGAGGTTTCGGATCCAAAGAAACATACCAAAGGAAATATCGAGGTAGCTACGCTGAGTGGTGTAACTAAAGCTTCGCGTGATATTAATCGGCAGTCTGAAGGTGTGTTTAATATTTAATTTTTCTTTTTTTTTCTTCCGTTTTTTTAACCAATTTAGCTGAATTAGCAAGTATTCGCTGATACTAGAGTTATCGACCTGAAATACATACATTAACTCCTTCGCCTACAATATCGTCGGAGATTCATAATAACGAAATCGAGCCAAACATAAGTGATAAGACCCAAGGTTTGTAGATAGAGCCTAATGTAAACAACACGGGTCAGTTTAAAATTTTCGCGGATGTCTTCCTCTCTGAGTTACGTATTTCTCTTCCCCGCGTTCGAATGACGTGTCTCGATGTGTTGATTATGGTACGCGCTATCATAGTTAAATCATAGGCCAAGGAGTTATATATAGTGAACATAAATAACTATAATTAAAATGATACATTGTAATTCAACAAAGGTCGACATTAATTATATCAAAGTAAAATATCATTTTTGGTAGTTCTAGTGTTAATGAGGACCTTCGCTAAAGTATTTAGACAATTTTATTCATTCCAGTGTCCAGTGAAATTGAGGACCCAAGGTTATTAATCGGAAGAATACGAAGCAAGTTCGTTCCGACCGGAAACGTGAGTCGTACCGCCAAACTGTTCGAAAAAGAGGCAGCAGCATCGAAATCACCGACGAACGTTTCTCAGGTATCGCAACGCGCCTTTCCCGCCGTCCCAATGACAGCTGGGAAACCTCATAACGAGAGGATACAAAAGGCTTTCGCCTTTTGGAATAAATAGACAGTGGACAAATACAATGGAATCATCGTCGATGACATTCGAAAACTAATCGGTATTCTTCACGTCGGTATTTTTATCATCAAATTCATAAATTCGAAGATATTTTAAATCTACTATATTAGATATACGACTGAAACTCTACGCGGTATTATACATAGGTGTCATTTTCGTGCTTTTTCTTTTTTTTTTTTTTTTTTTTTTTT